TGGAAGGATGCCTACACCAACTTTGATGGATTGCCTCCACCTAACAAGGGAGAAGATAGTCTGTACAAAAGTCAGGAGAACGTATCTTTCGTGGCCCTGTACAACCCTACAGAGAAAGCTACCGCAGACTGCCGAGTCGTCACCTGCACAAAAACAACGCCTGTTTTGGAAAGTGCCGTAAAAACAGAAAACCAGGGGCAAAGTAAAGAGACCAAAGCCTCAGCCTTGATATGCATGACTGCGCCTGATGTACTTGCCGACGCAGAGAAGGCCCCTTTCACGTGAGTTTTCTCAAGCCCTACGTCTTCTATTTCTTCCTGTGTTCTGTTCTGCCTGGAGATTGTTTTTGTTTCTCGGCGTGTGTTCTGCAGAGAGGATCAATGGGGACAGATCGTGACCGCTCTCGAAGGCTCTGCCTCGGCTGTTGCACCCGGTGTGGTCGGTTTTGCATTGGCGATCGTTGGCCTCAGCATGCTGTGAAACGACAGCTTTTAAAGAGGGGGATGATCCAAGAGGCTCTTTTTTTATGGTTGAGGGGAACAAGGAGTTTCGCTACCTGCTGAGGTGTAGAGTCTCGCGGATCACATAGTGCACACTCGATGCAGATGAGAAACTCGCGGCTCAGGAGAGCGTCAGGGAAGAGTTGACCTCTGGCGGACCACTTAACTAGCGCAAAATAGTGGTAAAGGCCCGATTATACAGTGCTCGATGGGCTTTTTCGTGTACAGAGACAAATTATGTTTTTGCCCCTCGCTCCGCCCTGCTGGTGGAGCCGCTGCGGTCCACCATCAAGGCAGAAATGGCTTGGAGGTGAAGGGTTCAGCCTGCATGTAATTTTTGGCGGCTGTAGAGTGAATGTCCGTCGAATTCAACTCAAACTCAGGTCTTTAGAGAGTTTGGGCGTACATCTTTTATACCGACCCAACCGAGGTAGTCAAGTTACCATGGGAGAAACTTGTGTCGCTGGCCCTGGCGATATACTGCTGCCTCTAAATTTCTTTCCCGTGTCGCGAAACTGTGAGCCCCGCTGAACTGGCAACAGGATTGTAGTGTCTTCTCTTTTAGCTGTTGCAAAAACATGCGCTAGTCTGGAAACTACGCGAGTCTCTGAAACCAAGCTGACACAATGGCTTTTTACAGGCGTCTATAGCAATTCTCCAAAAACAACAATTTATCACTGCAATTCTTTCCTTCACCGATGCGTGTTACTACTGCCACACCGCAACCGCTGCGTTCCCAGTAGGATGCAACAGCCCAAGTCTACGTCAGCAACCTCACAATTTAGTTGCCCACGTGTGGCGCATAAATGCCCCATTAAAGATTTAGATCGATTAAAAAAGGTTAGGGACGCTAAACTTGAATGTGGTTGCAACTACGTAGCCAGCTGTATCCCGAGATACTGTATACTCACCCTTCTCCATGAGCTCCCGGCGCAAGTAACCTAAGTGTCGTGAGATAGGAGCTAAGTATATCACTCTCTTCTTTTAGTGGAGCCAACTTTAAACGTGATGCGCCGTTGGGGAACGGGGTTGTGGCGCCTAGCCAACACTGTGTAGGTGACCCACGTCCCCTGTAGGGGAGGTTGCCGGACTTCGCAGTAGCTCATTGTTGACATTTATTAGAAGGCAGCAGCAGTCATCACAACC